GCGGCACACCACACTTGCATACCTAGTTATTTCGTACTTAAAGCATTGCACGCGCATCGCGCGCGCGCGCGCGCATAATTGGTCCTGCGTCGCGAAAACGCACACGAGTGTCGCGAGCCGCCGCTACGCGGCGCCCCTGTGTTATTGGCGATCGATGGTGCGCGTCGCCTTTTACACATCATACGCGCGCACGCATATATACGTGGATTTTATTTAACTGTTTCTTGTATTTCCGTAGAAATTGTGATTTTCGACGATCGACGCGATCGTTGTATTTGATTGAAAATCGAAATTAAGGAGAATAGAGAATTCTAGGTTGAAGAGTAGTCGAGGAGTATTCGGTATTGTTTTTTTTTCATGGAATATTGATTATTATCGTGAGATTTGTGTAGAAATGTTGTCGAAAAGTTGTCGAAGAAATTAAAAAGAATATCCAAGGAGTATTTGATATTATTTTTTTCATGGAACATTGATTATCGTGAGATTTGTAGAAGAATTGTCGAAGAAATTAAGAATCGAGAATTCTATGTTGAAAAATATCCGAGGAGTATTCGATATTGTTTTTTTTTTTTTTTGGAACATTGGTTATCGTGAGATTTATTGTCGAAGAAATTAAAAATCGAGAATTCTATGTTGAAAAATATCCGAGGAGTATTCGATAGTGTTTTTTTTTTTTTTTGGAACATTGGTTATCGTGAGATTTATTGTCGAAGAAATTAAGGAGAATCGAGAAACGATTCTACGTTGAAGAGTAATCAAGAAATATTCGGTGTTGTTTTTTTCATGTATTATTGATTATTATCGTGAGATTTGTATAGAAATATTGTCGAAAAGTTGTCGAAGAAATTAAGAAGAATATCCAAGGAGTATTTGATATTATTTTTTTCATGGAACATTGGTAATCGTGAGATTTATTGTCGAAGAAATTAAGAAGAATCGAGAAATGATTTTACGTTGAAGAGCATCCGAGAAATATTCGGTATTGTTTTTTTTCATGGAAAATTGATTATCGTGAGATTTGTGTAGAAAAATTGTCGAAAAGTTGTCGAAGAAATGAAGAACAATTGAAAAATGATTTTACGTTGAAAAGTAGTCGAAGAACTATCGTGAGATTTGTGTAGAAGAGTTATCGAAAAAAATTAACGAGAATTCTACGTTGAAGAATAGTCGAAGAGTTATCATAAGATTTGTGTAGAAGAATTGTCGAAGAAATTAAGGAAAATTGAAAATTCTACGTTGAAGAGTAATCGAGGAGCTATCGTGAGATTTGTGTAGAAAAGTTGTCGAAGAAATTAAGAAAAATCGAGAATTTTACGTCGAAAAATTATCGTGATATTTATATTATAGAAGAATTGTCGAATTGATATTTATATTATAGAAGAAATTAAGGAAAATTGAAAATTCTACATTGAAGAATAATCGAGGATCTATCCTGAGATTTGTGTAAAAGAGTTGTCGAAGAAATTAACGAGAATCGAGAATTCTACGTTGAAGAGTAGTCGAGGAATTATCGTGGGATTTGTGTAGAAGAGTTGTCATCGAAGAAATATAAATAGGATCGATACACACGTTTTATAATAAGCAAATATTTGCCCACTATATTAAAATTAATTATTCAGATAGCATTTCCTATGATAGCTACGAAACGCTTAGATACATACTGATCGAGTAATGAAAAACACGCTCGGCATCGATGCAACATATTAATAATATATCCTTGTAGCCAATGAAATGACAACAGCGGTTGAAAATTCTGCTGAATTTTCTCCTGTAAACGTGTCTATATCTTCGAAAGAATTTATAGAATCAGTCGAATAGTATCTTTGAAATTTGAAATTTCACATTTATCTCAATCTATCATTACATATATATATATATGTACAATTAACTAAACATCAAAAAGATTAAACATCCTCCTCTTGAAAAAGAATATCGATAGAAAAGAACAAAAAAAAGTGAGAGAGAGAGAGAAACCATAATTGCCACGACAATTGTAAATAAAAAAACTTTGCTTCCTTTGCCAAATCTTCCATTCAACCGATTCCATCCACGATCAATCTACACGATACGACAACCGTGACGACAAGAGGGCCGCAAGAGGGGTGGGTCGAAAACGCAGTATTTTACAGGATCGACGGATGAAGCTTAATGAGCGAGCAAGAGGGAGCGACGTAACGGCAGCAGCAGAGAGAGCAGGGAGGGTGGACGACGAAAGAAGAGAGCTTCGAACCGATTTGAATACAATACGCAGCGGCTTTAATAGGAACCGAGCGACGAAACCGATCGCGAGGTGCAAACAAAAGAGAGACGGTGGAGGGAGCGAGATGGGTCGAGGGGAAGGAAGGTGTATAAAGAGAGAGAGAGAGAGAGAGAGAGAGCCATCCGCGGAGATTCGAAATGCAGATTGATGTGGTCACACACGATGCAACCGCACACCGATCGAATACGAAATCGCGCCAAGAAGAGCCTGCGCCCGCGGGTGGGGTCAATGAATGAAAGATCGAGAGGGGAGGCTCGGTCGAATTTCCACGCCGATCCCCCCCCTCCCGTTCGTTCCACGAATTTCCAATTCTCCGTTGATCGAGAAACGTGAGAAAACAGCATGGGCGAAACGAGGCGTTGGAACGTGTTACGTGTCGCGAGATAATCGAATCGATCATTTCGAAATAATTTATCGAAAATAGTAGTAAATTACGAAAGATAATTATTGTGAGGAATTATTTGTAAATCAATTTTAAAAGATTATAAAATTTAAAAAGATTTTCACTAACGCGATATTCAAAGGTTTTAAAGATCGATTAAAAATTCGAGAATCGGAAGATTTCGAATCGAAGAAACGCGTATCATCTTTCGAAGGAAAAAAAGGCGAAATTATTTACAAATCAATTTTAATTAAAATTATAAAATTCAAAAAGATTTTCACTGAAACGATATTCAAAGGTTTTAAAGATCGAAGAATTAAAAATTCGAGAATCGGAAAAACTTCGAAGAATCGACCGTGTATCATCTTTCGAAAGAAAAAAAGGAAGAAAATTATTGTGCGAAATTATTTACAAATGAATTTTAAAAAATTCAAAAAGATTTTTACTAACGCGATTTTCAAAGGTTTTAAAGATCGAAGAATTAAAAATTCGAGAATCGGAAGATTTCGAATCGAAAAATCGCGTATCATCTTTCGAAGGAAAGAAAGGAAGAAAATTATTGTGCGAAATTATTTACAAATCAATTTTAAAAAATTATAAAATTCAAAAAGATTTTCACTAACACGATATTTAAAGGTTTTAAAAATCGAAGAATTAAAAATTCGAGAATCGGAAGATTTCGAATCGAAGAATCGCGTATCATCTTTCGAAAGAAAGAAAGGAAGAAAATTATTGTGCGAAATTACTTACAAATGAATTTTAAAAAATTCAAAAAAATTTTCACTAACGCGATATTCAAAGGTTTTAAATATCGAAGAATTAAAAATTCTAAAATCGGAAAGACTTCGAATCGAGCACCGCGTATCTTTCCGAAAGGAATCGGCGAAAATTCTGGCGAAAAGAATTCAGGATAAGATCACCAAAGACATATATATCTAATATATATATATAT